ATCACATAAATGACTTATCGCACTAGAGTGTTGCATAAGAGTTATCGCACAATAATATTGCATAAAAGATATCAGGTTAGGTATCGGGGCATGAGGGTATCGCTAAGGGCACTATGGGATGTACTCTTGTAACAGTATTTAAATTGAACATGCTAATGTATATACACATTTTTCTTACAGACATTCTGGATTGGGTGGAGGTGAGGTTCATGCTTATTTCTGGTATTTGCTACTTGTTGTGGCTGATTTTCGGCGAATACAGTACCACGTTGTGGTATGGCCTAAAATATATTGCTTGTTTTTGTTGTAAACGAAATGCAAGAACCAACGATGAAGATGAAGACGTGGCTGCTGCAGCCGAAAGGATAAGTAAAATGTCGAGCGAGGATCGCAAGGAGCATGCTTTAGTCCTGAACCGGGTCTCAAAGAAATACTGCCGCATGGCTGCCGTACGTGGAATATCCTTCGCTGTCCAGCCGTGAGTAGTCATTCAAGTGCAGCAATAACAATTACTTAAAAGCCAAGTCCCCAATTTACTGCAGGGGCGTGTGCTTTGGTCTGCTGGGTGCCAACGGGGCCGGTAAAACGACTACCTTCAAGATGATTGTGGGCGACATTGCCATGACGATGGGGAGTATTCACGTCAGAGGCTGCAGCATGAAATTCCGCCCCACGGCAGCGAGGCGGCAGATCGGCTACTGTCCCCAGCACGACACGCTCTTCGACTTCTGCACAGGCCGTCAAACACTCAGGATCTTCCTTTTGCTGCGCGGCACACGCCGGAATCTCCTCAAAAAAGTCTCGGAAAAACTGGCCACCGACTTTGTCTTTTTTGCGCACCTCGACAAAAAGGTCAAGGACTACAGTGGCGGCACTAAGCGAAAGTTAAACGCAGCGGTGGCCGGTGAGGGCTCATCGCTCATTTGTCTGGACGAGCCCAGTTCTGGGGTCGATCCGGCCTCCCGGCGCCATGTGTGGAATGTCCTCTCCTCGCTGCGGGACAAGGGGAAGGCGGTGCTGCTCAGCTCTCATAGCATGGAGGAGGTGGAGGCCCTCTGCACGCAGTTGGCCATCATGGTGGATGGGCAAATTCATTGCCTGGGATCCCAGCAGCGCATCAAGAATAAGTTTTCCCAGTGTCTGGTGCTCAAGTTACATGTGGATACCGGAAGTCTGGAAAGGTGAGACCAGTCCGTTTAAACTTTAAAGTGTATTCGATCTCCAGATCGTAAAGAGATAACCCCACAAACCCATCCACCCACACAGCATGGCGTACACTGTACTGAAGGTAAAGAATCAAATGGAATCGGACTTTCCCACGGCATCGCTAGAGTAAGTTGCATTTCAGACCAGCCAAACATACTCACCTCACTCGTAATGACTGCTCATTCAGGGAAGAGTTTGGTGGCAGGCTCAATTACCACATACCCATTGCCAAAATGAGATGGTCGAGGGTGTTCTCATACGTTGAGAGAAATCGCAGCCCTTGGAAGGTGGTGGACTACTCTCTGACGCAGCCGTCGCTGGAAGATGTATTTCTGGACATTGCCAAGAAGAAAGCGAACGAAAAGAAACAACAAAAGAATCAATACAGGCAGCCGAAGAGTCGTCCCCCCAAAAAGGATTCTCCGAAATCTGATAAGGATAATGGCCGCGCCACTAGGGTAACCAAGACATAAGCCTGTAGAAGTGTAGCGAGTGGGGGGCACGGCGAATTCGCCTAAAATAAACAAAGCGGAAAACGCTACTCAAAATACGCAAGTGAGAGGCGTCCGAGTGCTTTTGTTGGAGTGCTTTTTGTATGGAGCGTATCTACGTGTGTCTTTTGTTTTGTTTGTTTTTTAGTTTATTGCGAGCGACTAATGAACTTTTGCTTTGCTCTACTCTACTCTCCCTCTCAGTGGGCTGCTCTCTCTGCCATCTATCTACCTCTCTCTGCCTCCTGTCTCTGTCTTTGCTGATTGTTGTCTTTTGTAGTTTTTCCATTCGTTCTCTCCCGCTCTTGGTTGCCTTCACCCAGGCATTCGCATTCAACTTGTTGATAGCGCACCATTTTTCTTTCCCCCTCTTTCTTCTTGCTGCTATTTCGTTTTTCTTTTGCTCAGCTCTTGTCAGATTTTTTCTTATCAGGCGAGAACAAATTGTTTCTGTATCTGTATGTCGCTGTGTGTGCCGGTGTGTCTGTGTGTCTGTGACCTGGGAAATGTGCGATTTTTGCCTGCCGTTAGGTGTCGTTGCGTTACTGTTGCTGTTGCTGCTGCTGCTGTTAACGCTAACGTGACCATGGCCGTAATTGATTGCCGCCTGCCTACTGCCGATAGCCTAATAAATTGATGGGACAGCCACCAGCAGCAGCAGCAGACGCAACAGCAACAGTTGTGGCAGTGGCAATGGCAGTGGGAACGGAAGCGCCAAAGTATCAGCTTGAAGAGGCTTTTGTTGCGCCTGCAGTCCAAATGAAACTGGTCAATAAATTGAAATCCCTAAATTCCTAAATGCAGCCATTACATTTTTATATTAGGGGATTGATTTTTGCCGACATTTGAGTCGCTGTTGGAATAGTAGTCAGTTTTTATACCCGTACTCAAAAAAGAGTTAAGGGGTATATTAGATTTGTGGTAAAAGTGGATGTGTGTAACGCAGAGAAGGAAACGTTTCCGACCCCATAAAGTATATATATTCTTGATCAGCATCAATAGCCGAGTCGATATAGCCATGTCTGTCTGTCCGTCTGTCTGTCTGTCTGTCTGTCTCGATGAGCGCCTAGATCTCAGAAACTATAAGAGCTAGGGCAACCAAATTTGGTTTCCAGACTCATGTGATATCCCACTGCTACAAGTGTATTTCAGAATTTCGCCCCGCCCCCTTCCGCCCCCACAAAGGACGAAAATCTGTGGCAGGCACAATTTTAAAGATACGATAAAACTAAAAACGCAGTATCGTAGAGAATGCCCATATCTACCAGACTGCTGAATCTGAATTAGATCGGATCATAATTATAGCCAGAATGACGAAATTAATTTTCAGTTGCTTCCCCTGCCCCCCCTCCCACAAACGACAACGAAACTCATTTTCCTTCTCGCTCGCACACTCTGCCGCGTTCAGTGCGCGAGCAACCCCTAGCGGAAAAGATGTAGAATATGAATAGTACATCTATAATCTACATGTTAGATGTAAAATATACATTGTAGATGTAGATGTAGATAACAGATGTAGCAAAAAAATGTAATATGTAAAATTTTTTTTTTTAATTCTAAATTCTGAAAATCATATGCTCAAAAATGTAAATACTGACTGAGTACGGGTATAAGTAGAGTCGCGTCTTTAGAAGCGACTCACACGTTCCTTCTCGTTTTTTTTTTTTTTTTTAGAAGAAAATGGCATCTCCAGTTCTTTTTTTTCAAGCATAAACTATCTAAATATATTAAAAATACTACATAATGTTTTAAATAGTGTCAGGACACATTAAAGCGCTTAATCTTAAATTGGAAATGTAAATTAATAAACCCTTATATGCACATCATTACTAATCTCACAAATAGCCTATTCCTTGGCGATTCCTTAATTATTTAATATTATATATTTTATATATTCCCTTAAAGATGTCGTTGAAAATTTACTAAATCTGTCTGATTTAAATAGATTATAAAATTGTATATTTTAATCTTAAATATTTATATATTTTGTTCCTACCTATTATTTTGCTTTATTTAAAACAAAAAAAAATACGTTTATTATTCAAAACCGGAAAAATACATTTTATCATAAGGGTCAATAAACTTTTGTTACTTTTTACTTTCGAAGGAATTCTATAAATTCTGGATCTGATTCAGTCATAATTTGGAACAATTGTTAAGTATTATAGCTTCCCATACAATGTTATTATTTGCAACAGTTACTCAACATTATTATGTCATATCACAGCCCAAAGTTAATCCACGACAAAGCTCTATTTAAACAATGGAAAACCGAAAGCATTTTATAATAATATTAAAATTAAAATAAATATTCATGTGAAGTTTACTTGAACTCTGTTTCTCTGTTGCTTTTTGTGGGTCTGTTTCTGGGTCTCTGGATATGGGATATTGAAATCAAACAAAGGCAACAGCTGTTTTTTTATCCGCTTCTTCTCTTTCGAAACATAAGCTAAAGAGAAAAGAACAAAAGCCATTTATATGGATGGCATGACTCAAAGCAGACAACGTATCGAATCGAATCGAACCGAATGTATCGTATCGAGAAATGCACCGTTAGTTATCTTTCATGTCCAAAAGAAGCAAAACACACAAACAACACGTACATAACTATCTGTCTGTAAGCATGTGTTTGCACTCAAGTCAGTTGGCCAAAAAGAACCGGCTTTTTGATCAAACCAGAAACAGAAAACAGCAGCAGAAAAAGCAGAAAAAAAAACCACTCAAAAGTTCGCTTTACAGCTGTTTTCAGATAAACTTTCGATAAACTTTTGCCCCTGAACCAAAGCTTTGACTTTGCGCCAAAAGCTTGCTCTCTCATTTCCCCTTACGATATACGATTGAGTGAGTCGCGAGCTGGGTCTCTTCTGCTCAATGCCAATATGCCGGCTGTTGAAATGGAGTAAGGCGGAAAACAACGCAAAGCACAAGCAACAACAAAAAAAAAAAGTAAACAAAAAGCAAAGATAGCAAAGCAAAAACTAAGCTTGAACTGAAAATATGAATGCAATGGCTGGATTTCCCGTTAATGCGGTGGTCAATCCGGGAGTACAATACAACTTTAATTCGTCTTGCATTTCTTCAAGAGGCACGGGAAAGAAATTGCAATTTATAACCCTTTGAAAACAGTTGATTACCGCATATAATCCAGTAAACACAGGATGAAGGTAAAACACTTTTATCATCGGTCCGATCAAAGATATATCATTTAACATGTCCCAAGTTACTGTCATAAAGAAGGCAAAAACCACACCTACAAAAAAAATAAACAAAGGAAACGTTGGGAGTACAATTTTAGTCTGCGGACTAATACCGAATAATACCGAATATAATGTTGATGTTTGCAATTATGATAACGGCTGTGCCAGCATCTCTGAAAAGGCTTGCCATAATATAGGTAAAGGGCAGACCCGCCACTCCGATGATCATGAGTATCGACAGCATCTCCCCGGGATGGCACAACTCGTGCACCGCCAGAATCAGTGTCAGCGCAAACGCAAAGTAGAGGGACAAGTCGATGATAAAGTGGGTCAGCCAGTAGGTGGCCAAGCTCACGCCAGACACCTGCTGCTGCATCCGTATCTGCGTTACCCTCTCTTGCGCCACTGAGATGGAGAATATCGCCAGGACAATGGACAGATATAGCAAAACATAAATGCTGGCGCTCACAATCATCTCTAAATGCTGCTCAACTTGACTCAAGCCTTCGTAGGGGGCATTGGTTACCTCTATGCTCGCCTCGGAACCCACCATCGCTTTCGCCATGGCGTTGAACGCGAGGTTGAGCGACACAGGAGCACTATGCGGGAACAGACGCTGTCTACACCAGACAATCGTTTCTTGGTCGAAGGTGGCTGCCGCTATAAGACGTTGCTTCATTTCGTATATTCTCGCGGGCGTTCCTTGCACCTGTGGGCCGATGTAGTCTATTACATTCTGGCTAATTCTTTCGACGGTGCAGTGCTGCTGGGCCAACTCTTGGTAGGCATTGGCTATATCCCGCACAGGGCGAGTGTCCGATGTTGATTGCAATATTACTTTGACCTCCTCACCATTATAATCGGCCAGAGTAAGAGGAAGTCTGGTCAGAAGTGCGCTCGCCGATGGCCTACGAATAAGAACTACAACGAAGAGAACTATGGGCAGCAGCAGCATAACCAGAAACATCCATTTCTTATCATATGTGTAGAGCAGCTTCTTCAGCAGCATGGCCTCCCACTGGCCCAGGTAGCGCAGGAAACGGTTCGGATGACGGCTCTGCTCTTGGCCCTGGCCTGCCTCTGACTCCGCCTCTGCTGAACCGATCCGCTACCGCCGCTAGTGCGAGCCCCAAGATCTTCCGCGCCGTGCGACATAAATATTTCTGAAAGACTGGTGGAGCTAAGACCGAATCCCACAACATCCAGCTGCTCCTTCTGTTGCTCCAAGTCGTTGAAGAGTGACCCAAAAGATCCCAAAAAGCGGTGCGGCAGTCGATAGGACACGTCTGATCCAATGTTGCTATGAGGCCGCGTGTTGGGCACGTGGGCGGCTATCAGTTGGGTCAACCTGGACACATTGCAGTTGGGTCCCTTCTCGCAGCTGAGCAGATAGCTGGTCTCGTTCTGTTTCTTGAGGAACGCCAATGTGCCCAGGCAACGGAGCCGGCCATCGCTTATGATGGCAATGCGGTCGGCCAATACCTCGCCCTCGTCCATTTGGTGGGTGGTGAGCAGAACAGTGCGTCCCTGCTTCTCATCCAGCAGCAGCTTCCAAAGTTCCAGCCGCAAGTTGGGATCCAGACCCGAGCTGGGCTCGTCGCAGAACAGAACCTTGACGTTGCCGCACAGGGCACAGGCCAACGCAAGCCGACGCTGTGTCCCCCCAGAGAGACGCCGAGCCGCGGTGTTGGCCTTTTCCTTAAGGCTTAGCTTCTGCAAGTACTTTTCCACCTCCTGTTTGACCGCTGCCCCCTTGAGACCCCTGAGCCGGCTGTAGAATCGAAGGTGACTGGCCACACTCAAACCAGCAAAGAAGACGCTTCTCTGCGGACAAATGCCCAAGGATCGACGGGCCTGGAGGTGTTCGGTTTGTATGTCGTAGCCATTGATGATCGCCGTGCCGGAGCTGGGTTGAATGGTGCCCGTCAACATTTGTATGGTCGTGGTCTTGCCAGCTCCATTGTGTCCCAGGAGCACCGTGATCTCGTTCTCAAACAAATCGAATGTGAGGCCAGCGACCACCTGTCGTTCGCCAAAGCTTTTGCTGAGATTTTTTATTTGTACACCAGGGGTTTTGCCTTTGGCGCTGGCATCCACGAACTTGGAGGTCTTACGCTCTGGAGACTTATCCGCAGAACGTCGCTCCTCATCGGTGGGTTGGACAGGGAACCACCCGGGCGGGGATAATGATACTACTCGTCGTATGTTCTTGGTCGGACACCAGAAGCGCTTGGTGCACGGGAAATTCCATGGCTGTGGCATGCCAAACTCCCCTGGCCTCACCCGCTCCATGTACAGGCAGATGAGGATCGAGATCAGGCTAAACAGTATCATGAGAAACAGTATCGCACCAACGCTTATGCTGTCTCGGGCCCATGACGTCTGAAAGAGATTGCTCCACTGCAGGCCAAAACCCGCTTGTTCCCATGCGGCAATTCGATCCATGACCATGTTCATGGCTGACACGACGAAAATGCTGCACAGGATGTTCAACAGTGTTCCAGTACTGTCTCTGCTCGTGACAAAATTGGGCCCACTACTGGCTATGAACAGAAGTATGGCAATGAGGCCACACCAATTGCTGCGAGCGCAGCAGCAGCTGACCAGGAAGCCGAAACATATGAAAGAGTGACTGCACACAAGCAGATATAACAGAAAGACAGACGAGTCGGTATATGGGAGAACGGGCATGTCGGCAAATGGCGACCCCTCCTCACCGGGTATACCGATCATCGTCCAAAATATAGTAATTGCTAGCGATATTATGAATAGAACTATCATGGACTTGACATACCAGGCCAGCCATTGGAGAGAGTTGCTTACGTCGGAGATGTTCAGCATATCCTTCAGCTGAAGCTCCTTTTCCTCGACAATGCTCTACAAAATGAAACAGTTAAAGAACTGCTAAAAGAACAAGACTTAGTCTTACCTTAACATCCATTATGAACGGGCAAAAAAAGGCACACATTAAAAGTACACCAAAATATTTGGAAAATGGCATATGATAATCCCTATCATATAGTGACTCCAGTTTTGGTCGAATAACAGCTTGGGTCGAATTCTTTTTCTGCAGGTACTGTAAGCTGAGTTCCGTCTGAAGATAAAGAAACCCACTTCTGCGGTAATATTTTACTTCCTCGTACTGCATTATCAGGAGATTTATATTAAAATGGTCTTCTTTGGTGACGGGAAACCGCAGAGCAAACCGGAATCTATGCGGCAATTCGGATATATCAGACCACTCGTCGGGAAACTCTATGCCGAACGCCCCTTTGTACGAACTATTTTTTGTAAGCGCTTCCTCCAAGGCCTTGGCATCGACAAAGCCCTGCACATGGACCGGATTTTCATCAGAAACAACTTCAAAAAAGGATACTCCTGTGACAAGCAACTCAAGAATTGCATTTTGCGGCCAGTAACAGAGGATAATTCCGCTTTTTGGAGCACACACAATGAACACAATATTATTTAATTAGAAGTGGGTTTTCAACTTACTATGGTAGCATAGGCTGATAGTTTTCGCTGAATTCGTAGCCTATGATGGGCACAACTTGCCATATTATAACGGGCATCAGCGGAATTGCAAAAGATAATATTATTAAACAAGCCAACTGGCATTTTCGTCCCAAAAACACACATAGATTTTTCCACAATATCAATAGAAACTTCCTTGGGCAGGACAACACCTCCGGCACTTACTCTTCATTTGTCATGTTTTATATATGTAACGCAGTCTGAAATCAGTCAGTGTTGTGGTAGGAAATATATAAGCCACTCGTTAATGGAATCCTTGGAATCCATTAATGGAATCTGATCCCAGTGTTGTATTTACTTATGCAAGATTTAATACATTATATAATATCGTAACGAATTAAGTGAGACTGAGACTAATGTTTTCCACAAATCGACGAATAAATTGGCAGAACTAACTAGATTTCAACAAAAAGTAATCGTACGAACACTCGTATGTAAATTTATTTTAGGGATAAGGGGATAAGTTGTAGATCCTTGTGTCATGCACACAGTCAGTCGTAGAGGACATACTGACTTTTCAGAGAATTAGGTTTTAAAGCCAATCAATCCTATAATCAATACTAGATCTGGTATTTATATAATTTGTATTTTGGTATGCTATGCTTCGAATGTGGTGTGTCCGTGAAATTGATTTGTTGATAACAACTAACTAGAAATGTCTAAACCTTTGTTTCGTGGGAGAAAAGCTTCGCCCAAAGAAGTTTCTCTTTTATTTGCACAGATGATCTTTACAATAAAGATAACCTTTGAAAAATTTAGAATCCTTCATCCTCTACATCCGCCGTCGCAGTTGCATCCAAAAATATTACAGGGGCCTTTCCCACAAAAATTTGATGCGATGGTTCCATCATCGCATACGAATTTCCCGCGCAGTAGGTCGGTGTGCCCGTAGCAGCACGTAAGCCTGGGTTTTTTTTCGCCTCTACAGCCGCCGTCACAATTACATCCAAAGATATTACACTTGCCATACGCGCAATAGCTTCCTTTGGCACGCGAACCATCCGAGCAACGCCCATTACTCCTGGCATGGCAGCAGTAGGCGGTCACACCGCCAATGAGAACTAAAAGCAGTAGTACAGTCAAAGAATTCATAGTCTGATCTATGCGATTGCGATGGTTTTACTATTGGGTTGGATGATACTATACTTTCGCAAATCGTTTTGAAATCTACTATATATAGGTTTTATCTAATTTGGTGTGTTACGCTACTAATGTGGTGTGTCCATGAAATTGGTGATTTTTTTATTTTCGCTTACATAACCCACACAACCCTTCACGCACTTCGCCCCATTAACACATCATAATTATACCCGTACTCAAAAAAGGGTTAAGGGGTATTTTAGATTTGTGGTAAAAGTGGATGTGTGTAACGCAGAGAAGGAAACGTTTCCGACCCCATAAAGCATATATATTCTTCATCAGCATCAATATCCGAGTCGATATAGCCATGTCCGTCTGTCCGTCTCGATGATCTCTTAGATCTCAGAGACAATGAGAGTTAGGGCAACCAAATTTGGTTTCCAGACTCATGTGATATCCACTGCTACAAGTGTATTTCAAAATTTCTCCCGCCCCCTTCCGCCCCACAAAGGACGAAAATCTGTGGCAGGCACAATTTTAAAGATACGATAAAACTGAAGAAAACAATTTTCAGTTGCTTCCCCACCTCCTCCAGCCAGAGACCACGCTAGTCATTGTCCTTCTCGCTCGCACACTCTGCCTCGTTCAGTGCGCGAGTGCCCGCTAGCGGAGGAGATGTAGAATATACATTGTGGATGTATTTGTAGATAGCATATGTATTCTAAAATTCCAAAAAATCATATGCCCAAAAATGTGTATATACTGACTGAGTACGGGTATAAGAAGAGTCGCGTCCCCAGAAGCGACTCACACGTTCCTTCTTGTTATTTATGCCTTTGATACTGTCATCCGTGTAATGTTAGTGGAAGGAGTTATTACTACAGCAGTGACATTTCGCCATATCTCTTAGGCAACTTAGGCACACACTCCTTAACCTCTTCGAGTACTGGGTAAAAAAAAAAATTAAAGTGCGGATACACTAACAAAATGGCAGAGACGCTCCTCAAAAAAAGAACTCCGAAAGCACTTTATTTTAGTCGAATTCCCTTATGACAGCCAGCTCGCTGTCTGCCAGCCTTCACTCGCTATATTTCTACAGGGCTATGTCTTGGTTAACCTAGTGGCCCGGCTATTATCTTTATCAGATTTCGGAGAATCCTTTTTGGTGGGACGACTCTTCGGTTGCCTGTTTTGATTCTTTTGTTGTTTCTTTTCGTTCGCTTTCTTCTTGGCAATGTCCAGAAATACATCTTCCAGCGACGGCTGCGTCAGAGAGTAGTCCACCACCTTCCAAGGGCTGCGATTTCTCTCAACGTATGAGAACACCCTCGACCATCTCATTTTGGCAATGGGTATGTGGTAAGTGAGCCTGCCACCAAACTCTTCCCTGAATGAGCAGTCATTACGAGTGAGGTGAGTATGTTTGGCTGGTCTGAAATGCAACTTACTCTAGCGATGCCGTGGGAAAGTCCGATTCCATTTGATTCTTTACCTTCAGTACAGTGTACGCCATGCTGTGTGGGTGGGTGGGTTTCGTGGGGTTATCTCTTTACGATCTGGAGGTCGAATACACTTTAAATGGGCTGGTCTCACCTTTCCAGACTTCCGGTATCCACATGTAACTTGATCACCAGACACTGGGCAAACTTATTCTTGATGCGCTGCTGCGATCCTAGGCAGTGAATTTTCCCATCCACCATAATGGCCAACTGCGTGCAGAGGGCCTCCACCTCCTCCATGCTATGAGAGCTGAGCAGCACCGCCTTCCCCTTGTCCCGCAGCGAGGAGAGGACATTCCACACATGGCGCCGGGAGGCCGGATCGACCCCAGAACTGGGCTCGTCCAGACAAATGAGCGATGAGCCCTCACCGGCCACCGCTGCGTTTAACTTTCGCTTAGTGCGCAAAAAAGCCAAAGTCGGTGGCCAGCTTTTCCGAGACTTTTTTGAGGAGATTCCGGCGTGTGCCGCGCAGCAAAAGGAAGATCCTGAGTGTTTGACGGCCTGTGCAGAAGTCGAAGAGCGTGTCGTGCTGGGGACAGTAGCCGATCTGCCGCCTCGCTGCGATGGGGCGGAATTTCATGCTGCAGCCTCTGACGTGAATACTCCCCATCGTCATGGCAATGTCGCCCACAATCATCTTGAAGGTAGTCGTTTTACCGGCCCCGTTGGCACCCAGCAGACCAAAGCACAGGGGCTTTGCAGGGGCTGCAGTAAATTGGGGACTTGGCTTTTAAGTAATTGTTATTGCTGCACTTGAATGACTACTCACGGCTGGACAGCGAAGGATATTCCACGTACGGCAGCCATGCGGCAGTATCTCTTTGAGACCCGGCTCAGGACTAAAGCAGCAGCGGCCTTTCGGCTGCAGCAGTCACGTCTTCATCTTCATAATTGATTGTTGCATTTTGTTTACAAAAACGACCAAAATATTTATATATATATACAACAATATACCACAACGTGGTACTGTATTCGCCGAAAATCAGCCACAACAAGTAGCAACTACCAGAAATAAGCATATACCTCACCTCCACCCAATCCAGAATGTCTGTAAGAAAAATAGCAAACATATAAATATATATTTTTAAATTGTTAACCATGTTATTCGGGTTTTTTGAATTAAGTCACTAATTCCTTAAAAATGTAATATGTGACCAAGTTTTGTATGCAGACTCCTTTTATGTCCAAACTTCGCGCTGCCCACACAAAAGACGAAAATCTGTGTCATCGACAATTCTAAAGTACGAAAAAATAACTGTATCTCCTGTATTGCCGAACCTGAATCAGATCATATCATTACTATAGCTAAAATGAAGAAATTATTATGCAGTTGCTACGCTTTCTAGCTCACACACTCTGCCTTGTGCAGTGTGAGCTCTCTGGCGGAGGAAATCGGGATCGTATTGGTGTAAGAAGAGATACATATTTAGATATCTAGAGGACAGATGTAGCAAAAACGAGAAGGAACGTGTGAGTCGCTTCTGGGGACGCGACTCTACTTTTATACCCGTACTCAGTCAGTATATCAATTTTTGAGCTTATGATTTATGCAGAATTTTAAAAAATTTTACATTTAACTTTTTTTGCTACATCTGTTATCTACATCTACATCTAAAATGTATATTATACATCTAACATGTATATTCTACATGTACCATTTAGATTATACATCTCCTCCGCTAGCGGGCACTCGCTTACTGAACGAGGCAGAGCGTGCGAGCGAGAAAAGGGAATTGGTCTCTTGCTGGAGGAGATGGTGGTAGATATGGTCATTCTCTACGATACTGCTATTTTTGTTTTATCGTATCTTTAAAATTGTGCCTGACACAAATTTTCGTTCTTTGTGTTGTGAAATTTTTAAATACACTTGTAGCAGTGTGATATCACATGAGTCTGGAAATAAAATTTCGTTGCTCTACCTCTTATAGTCTCTGAGATATAGGCGCTCATCAAGACGGACGGACGGACGGACCGACGGACATGGCTATATCGACTCGGCTATTGATGCTGATCAAGAATATTTATACTTTATGGGGTCGGAAACGTTTCCTTCTCTGCGTTGCACACATCCAATTTTACCACAAATCTAATAATATAATATATATATATATATATATATAATATAATCTAATATAAATCTAATCTAATCTAATCTAATAACTCTTTTTTGAGTACGGGTATAAAAATTAGGACTAAATTAATTTTGATAATAAAATCGTTAGAAAATTATTTGGAATTTCCCATATTGCGATTTTTGTAAATTCTTTGAATGTGTCTGTTCATTGTGTGTGTCTTAATACTTACCCAGGCAAGGGCAGAATTTTACGGTTTTTCCCGTTAATGCGGTGGTCAATCCGGGAGTACAATACAACTTTAATTCGTCTTGCATTTCTTCAAGAGGCACGGGAAAGAAATTGCAATTTATAACCCTTTGAAAACAGTTGATTACCGCATATAATCCAGTAAACACAGGATGAAGGTAAAACACTTTTATCATTGGTCCGATAAAAGGTAAATGATCATTTAACATGTCCCAAGTTACTGTCATAAAGAAGGCAAAAACCACACCTACAAAGACGGGGAAACGTTGGGAGTAAAATTTTAGTCTGCGGACTAAAGTTACTCAATAATACCGAATATCATGTTGATGTTTGCAATTATGATAACGGCTGTGCCAGCATCTCTGAAAAGGCTTGCCATAATATAGGTAAAGGGCAGACCCGCCACTCCGATGATCATGAGTATCGACAGCATCTCCCCGGGATGGCACAACTCGTGCACCGCCAGAATCAGTGTCAGCGCAAACGCAAAGTAGAGGGACAAGTCGATGATAAAGTGGGTCAGCCAGTAGGTGGCCAAGCTCACGCCAGACACCTGCTGCTGCATCCGTATTTGCGTTACCCTCTCTTGCGCCACTGAGATGGAGAATATCGCCAGGACAATGGACAGATATAGCAAAACATAAATGCTGGCGCTCACAATCATCTCTAAATGCTGCTCAACTTGACTCAAGCCTTCGTAGGGGGCATTGGTTACCTCTATGCTCGCCTCGGAACCCACCATCGCTTTCGCCATGGCGTTGAACGCGAGGTTGAGCGACACAGGAGCACTATGCGGGAACAGACGCTGTCTACACCAGACAATCGTTTCTTGGTCGAAGGTGGCTGCCGCTATAAGACGTTGCTTCATTTCGTATATTCTCGCGGGCGTTCCTTGCACCTGTGGGCCGATGTAGTCTATTACATTCTGGCTAATTCTTTCGACGGTGCAGTGCTGCTGGGCCAACTCTTGGTAGGCATTGGCTATATCCCGCACAGGGCGAGTGTCCGATGTTGATTGCAATATTACTTTGACCTCCTCACCATTATAATCGGCCAGAGTAAGAGGAAGTCTGGCCAGAAGTGCGCTCGCCGATGGCCTACGAATAAGAACTACAACGAAGAGAACTATGGGCAGCAGCAGCATAACCAGAAACATCCATTTCTTATCATATGTGTAGAGCAGCTTCTTCAGCAGCATGTCCTCCCACTGGCCCAGGTAGCGCAGGAAACGGTTCGGATGACGGCTCTGCTCTTGGCCCTGGCTCTGCCTCTGACTCCGCCTCTGCTGAACCGATCCGCCACCGCCGCTAGTGCGAGCCCCAAGATCTTCCGCGCCGTGCGACATAAATATTTCTGAAAGACTGGTGGAGCTAAGACCGAATCCCACAACATCCAGCTGCTCCTTCTGTTGCTCCAAGTCGTTGAAGAGTGACCCAAAAGATCCCAAAAAGCGGTGCGGCAGTCGATAGGACACGTCCGATCCAATGTTGCTATGAGGCCGCGTGTTGGGCACGTGGGCGGCTATCAGTTGGGTCAACCTGGACACATTGCAGTTGGGTCCCTTCTCGCAGCTGAGCAGATAGCTGGTCTCGTTCTGTTTCTTGAGGAACGCCAATGTGCCCAGGCAACGGAGCCGGCCATCGCTTATGATGGCAATGCGGTCGGCCAATACCTCGCCCTCGTCCATTTGGTGGGTGGTGAGCAGAACAGTGCGTCCCTGCTTCTCATCCAGCAGCAGCTTCCAAAGTTCCAGCCGCGAGTTGGGATCCAGACCCGAGCTGGGCTCGTCGCAGAACAGAACCTTGACGTTGCCGCACAGGGCACAGGCCAACGCAAGCCGACGCTGTGTCCCCCCAGAGAGACGCCGAGCCGCGGTGTTGGCCTTTTCCTTAAGGCTTAGCTTCTGCAAGTACTTTTCCACCTCCTGTTTGACCGCTGCCCCCTTGAGACCCCTGAGCCGGCTGTAGAATCGAAGGTGACTGGCCACACTCAAACCAGCAAAGAAGACGCTTCTCTGCGGACAAATGCCCAAGGATCGACGGGCCTGGAGGTGTTCGGTTTGTATGTCGTAGCCATTGATGATCGCCGTGCCGGAGCTGGGTTGAATGGTGCCCGTCAACATTTGTATGGTCGTGGTCTTGCCAGCTCCATTGTGTCCCAGGAGCACCGTGATCTCGTTCTCAAACAAATCGAATGTGAGGCCAGCGACCACCTGTCGTTCGCCAAAGCTTTTGCTGAGATTTTTTATTTGTACACCAGGGGTTTTGCCTTTGGCGCTGGCATCCACGAACTTGGAGGTCTTACGCTCTGGAGACTTATCCGCAGAACGTCGCTCCTCGTCGGTGGGTTGCACCAGGAACAACCCGGGCGGGGATAATGATACTACTCGTCGTATGTTCTTGGTCGGACACCAGAAGCGCTTGGTGCACGGGAAATTCCATGGCTGTGGCATGCCAAACTCCCCTGGCCTCACCCGCTCCATGTACAGGCAGATGAGGATCGAGATCAGGCTAAACAGTATCATGAGAAACAGTATCGCACCAACGCTTATGCTGTCACGGGCCCATGACGTCTGAAAGATATTGCTCCAGTGCAGGCCCACACCCTCGTATTCCCATAAGATAATTCGATCCATGACCATGTTCATGGCTGACACGACGAAAATGCTGCACAGGATGTTCAACAGTGTCCCAGTACTGTCTCTGCTCGTGACAAAATTGGGAACACAGCTGGCCATGAACAGAAGGATGGCAATGATTCCACACCAATTGCTGCGAGTGCAGAAGGAGCTGACCAGGAAGCCGAAACATATGAAAGAGTGACTGCACACAAGCAGATATAACAGAAAGACAGACGAGTCGGTATATGGGAGAACGGGCATGTCGGCAAATGGCGACCCCTCCTCACCGGGTATACCGATCATCGTCCAAAATATAGTAATAGCTAGCGATATTATGAATAGAACTATCATGGACTTGACATACCAGGCCAGCCATTGGAGAGAGTTGCTTACGTCGGAGATGTTCAGCATATCCTTCAGCTGAAGCTCCTTTTCCTCGACAATGCTCTACAAAATGAAACAGTTAAAGAACTGCTAACAGAACAAGACTTAGTCTTACCTTAACATCCATTGCGAACGGGCAAAAAAAGGCATACATTAAAAGTACACCAAAATATTTGGAAAATGGCATATGATAATCCCTATCATATAGTGACTCCAGTTTTGGTCGAATAACAGTTTGGGTCGAATTCTTTTTCTGCAGGTACTGTAAGCTGAGTTCCGTCTGAAGATAAAGAAACCCACTTCTGCGGTAATATTTTACTTCCTCGTACTGCATTATCAGGAGATTTATATTAAAATGGTCTTCTTTGGTGACGGGAAACCGCAGAGAAAACCGGAATCTATGCGGCAATTCGGATATATCAGACCACTCGTCGGGAAACTCTATGCCGAACGCCCCTTTGTACGAACTATTTTTTGTAAGCGCTTCCTCCAAGGCCTCGGCATCGACAAAGCCCTGCACATGAACCGGATTTTCATCAGAAACTTCAGAAAAGGATACTCCTGTGACAAGCAACTCAAGAATTGCATTTTGCGGCTAGTAACAGAGGATAATTCCGCTTTTTGGAGCACACACAATGAACACAATATTATTTAATTATTTTTCAACTTACTATGGTAGCAAAGGCTGAAAGCTTTCGCTGAATTCGTAGCCTATGATGGGCACACCTTGCCCTATTATAACGGGCATCAGCGGAATTGCAAAAGATAATATTATTAAACAAGCCAACTGGCATTTTCGTCCCAAAAACACACATAGATTTTTCCACAATATCAATAGAAACTTCCTTGGGCAGGACAACACCTCCGGCACTTACTCTTCATTTGTCATGTTTTATATATGTAACGCAGTCTGAAATCAGTCAGTGTTGTGGTAGGAAATATATAAGCCACTCGTTAATGGAATCCTTGGAATCCATTAATGGAATCTGATCCCAGTGTTGTATTTACTTATGCAAGATTTAATACATTATATAATATCGTAACGAATTAAGTGAGACTGAGACTAATGTTTTCCACAAATCGACGAATAAATTGGCAGAACTAACTAGATTTCAACAAAAAGTAATCGTACGAACACTCGTATGTAAATTTATTTTAGGGATAAGGGGATAAGTTGTAGATCCTTGTGTCATGCACACAGTCAGTCGTAGAGGACATACTGACTTTTCAGAGAATTAGGTTTTAAAGCCAATCAATCCTATAATCAATACTAGATCTGGTATTTATATAATTTGTATTTTGGTATGCTATGCTTCGAATGTGGTGTGTCCGTGAAATTGATTTGTTGATAACAACTAACTAGAAATGTCTAAACCTTTGTTTCGTGGAAGAAAAGCTTCGCCCAAAGAAGTTTCTCTTTTATTTGCACAGATGATCTTTACAATAAAGATAACGTATTTGACAAATTTAGAATCCTTCATCCTCTACATCCGCCGTCGCAGTTGCATCCAAAAATATTACAGGGGCCATAACCACAATACTTTGTTGTCCATGTTCCATCATAGCATTGGTGTATTCCGTACTTTAAGGACCAGTGCCTAGGGTAGCAGCAGGATTTGCCAGGTTTGGCAGGTTTGGCAGGTTTGGCAGGTTTGGCAGGTTTTTGTCTTGGGCCTTTACATCCACCATCACAGTTGCATCCGAAGATATTACAGGAGCCAATGCCGCAATAGCTTCCTACCACACGGGATCCATCCAGGCACCATCTATCACCATGGGCAGGGCAGCAGACGGACGTTACACCACCGATGAGAACTAAGAGGAGTAGTACAGTTGTAAGATTCATAGTCTGATCTATGCGATGGCGATGGTTGGTTAGATGATAATATACTTTCCCAAATCTTTTGGAAACCTGCTATATATAGTATTTATCTAATTTGGTGTGTTACGCTTCTAATGTGGTGTGTCCATGAAATGAGTGATTTTTTTTTTATTTTAAAGTATATACATATACATATATACATATATATACATAAATACTACGGGACTCTGCGCACTCGCTTCGCTTACATAACCCACACAACCCTTCACGCACTTCGCCCTATTAACACATCATAATTTTGTATTGCTACTGGAAATAGATGGAAAAAAACGAATCGCTTAACCAACAACAAAATTCATACCATTGATGCCATTAATACCACATCCGTGTAATGTTTGTGGTATGAGGTAGGAATAGATCCTCTGTCTCTTCTGTTATATATCGATAGTATACGTACTCACTTGTAACATGAGGAAAGGAGTGGCAACAAAACGCCATTCTCAGTTGCTGCCATAATCTTGTACAGTACACATCACAGATCATAGCCTGTCAAAAATTAGCTAAACCTCAAAATAAATAAACAGTCAGTGTACTTACATACAACGAAGAGGACTCTGAATAATTAAGTAATAATAGTAGTAAATACATGTTAATTCTCAAGAAATCGCGGGTTTTTTATTTATGCCTTTGATACTGTCATCCGTGTAATGTTAGTGGAAAGATTTATTACTACAGCAGTGACATTTCGCCTTCTGCTATCTCTTAGGCAACTTATGCACACACTCCTTAACCTCTTCGAGTACTGGGTAAAAAAAAAATTAAAGTGCGGATACACTAACACAATGGCAGAGACGCTCCTCAAAAAAAGAACTCCGAAAGCACTTTATTTTAGTCCAATTCCCTTATGACAGCCAGCTCGCTGTCTGCCAGCCTTCACTCGCTATATTTCTACAGGGCTATGTCTTGGTTACCCTAGTGGCCCGGCTATTATCTTTATCAGATTTCGGAGAATCCTTTTTGGTGGGACGACTCTTCGGCGGCCTATTTTGATTATTTTGTTGTTTCTTTTCGTTCGCTTTCTTCTTGGCAATGTCCAGAAATACATCTTCCAGCGACGGCTGCGTCAGAGAGTAGTCCACCACCTTCCAAGGGCTGCGATTTCTCTCAACGTATGAGAACACCCTCGACCATCTCATTTTGGCAATGGGTATGTGGTAATTGAGCCTGCCACCAAACTCTTCCCTGAATGAGCAGTACCATTACGGGTGAGGTGAGTATGTTTGGCTGGTCTGAAATGCAACTTACTCTAGCGATGCCGTGGGAAAGTCCGATTCCATTTGATTCTTTACCTTCTGTACAGTGTACGCCATGCTGTGTGGGTGGGTGGGTTTGTGGGGTTATCTCTTTACGATCTGGAGATCGAATACACTTTAAAGTTTAAACGGACTGGTCTCACCTTTCCAGACTTCCGGTATCCACATGTAACTTGAGCACCAGACACTGGGCAAACTTATTCTTGATGCGCTGCTGCGATCCTAGGCAGTGAATTTTCCCATCCACCATAATGGCCAACTGCGTGCAGAGGGCCTCCACCTCCTCCATGCTATGAGAGCTGAGCAGCACCGCCTTCCCCTTGTCCCGCAGCGAGGAGAGGACATTCCACACATGGCGCCGGGAGGCCGGATCGACCCCAGAACTGGGCTCGTCCAGACAAATGAGCGATGAGCCCTCACCGGCCACCGCTGCGTTTAACTTTCGCTTAGTGCCGCCACTGTAGTCCTTGACCTTTTTGTCGAGGTGCGCAAAAAAGCCAAAGTCGGTGGCCAGTTTTTCCGAGACTTTTTTGAGGAGATTCCGGCGTGTGCCGCGCAGCAAAAGGAAGATCCTGAGTGTTTGACGGCCTGTGCAGAAGTCGAAGAGCGTGTCGTGCTGGGGACAGTAGCCGATCTGCCGCCTCGCTGCCGTGGGGCGGAATTTCATGCTGCAGCCTCTGACGTGAATACTCCCCATCGTCATGGCAATGTCGCCCACAATCATCTTGAAGGTAGTCGTTTTACCGGCCCCGTTGGCACCCAGCAGACCAAAGCACACGCCCCTGCAGTAAATTGGGGACTTGGCTTTTAAGTAATTGTTATTGCTGCACTTGAATTACTACTCACGGCTGGACAGCGAAGGATATTCCACGTACGGCAGCCATGCGGCAGTATCTCTTTGAGACCTGGTTCAGGACTAAAGCATGCTCCTTGCGATCCTCGCTCGACATTTTACTTATTCTTTCGGCGGCAGCAGTCACATCTTCATCTTGATCGTTGGTTCTTGCATTTTGTTTACAACAAAAACAAGCAATATATTTTAGGCCATACCACAACTTGGTACTGTATTCGCCGAAAATCAGCCACAACAAGTAGCAACTACCAGAAATAAGCATATACCTCACCTCCACCCAATCCAGAATGTCTGTAAGAAAAAAAGCAAACATATAAATATATATTTTTATATTGTTATCTATGTTATTCGGGTTTTTTGAATTAAGTCACTAATTCCTTAAAAATGTAATATGTGACCAAGTTTTGTATGCAGACTCCTTTTATGTCCAAACTTCGCGCTGCCCACACAAAAGACGAAAATCGACAATTCTAAAGTACGAAAAAATAACTGTATCTCCTGTATTGCCGAACCTGAATCAGATCATATCATTACTATAGCTAAAATGAAGAAATTATTATGCAGTTGCTACGCTTTCTAGCTCACACACTCTGCCTTGTGCAGTGTGAGCTCTCTGGCGGAGGAAATCGGGATCGTATTGGTGTAAGAAGAGATACATATTTAGATATCTAGAGGACAGATGTAGCAAAAACGAGAAGGAACGTGTGAGTCGCTTCTGGGGACGCGACTCTACTTTTATACCCGTACTCAGTCAGTATATCAATTTTTGAGCTTATGATTTATGCAGAATTTTAAAAAATTTTACATTTAACTTTTTTTGCTACATCTGTTATCTACATCTACATCTAAAATGTATATTATACATCTAACATGTATATTCTACATGTACCATTTAGATTATACATCTCCTCCGCTAGCGGGCACTCGCTTACTGAACGAGGCAGAGCGTGCGAGCGAGAAAAGGGAATTGGTCTCTTGCTGGAGGAGATGGTGGTAGATATGGTCATTCTCTACGATACTGCTATTTTTGTTTTATCGTATCTTTAAAATTGTGCCTGACACAAATTTTCGTTCTTTGTGTTGTGAAATTTTTAAATACACTTGTAGCAGTGTGATATCACATGAGTCTGGAAATAAAATTTCGTTGCTCTACCTCTTATAGTCTCTGAGATATAGGCGCTCATCAAGACGGACGGACGGACGGACCGACGGACATGGCTATATCGACTCGGCTATTGATGCTGATCAAGAATATTTATACTTTATGGGGTCGGAAACGTTTCCTTCTCTGCGTTGCATACATCCAATTTTACCACAAATCTAATAATATAATATATATATATATATATATAATATAATCTAATATAAATCTAATCTAATCTAATCTAATCTAATAACTCTTTTTTGAGTACGGGTATAAAAATTAGGACTAAATTAATTTTGATAATAAAATCGTTAGAAAATTATTTGGAATTTCCCATATTGCGATTTTTGTAAATTCTTTGAATGTGTCTGTTCATTGTGTGTGTCTTAATACTTACCCAGGCAAGGGCAGAATTTTACGGTTTTTCCCGTTAATGCGGTGGTCAATCCGGGAGTACAATACAACTTTAATTCGTCTTGCATTTCTTCAAGAGGCACGGGAAAGAAATTGCAATTTATAACCCTTTGAAAACAGTTGATTACCGCATATAATCCAGTAAACACAGGATGAAGGTAAAACACTTTTATCATTGGTCCGATAAAAGGTAAATGATCATTTAACATGTCCCAAGTTACTGTCATAAAGAAGGCAAAAACCACACCTACAAAGACGGGGAAACGTTGGGAGTAAAATTTTAGTCTGCGGACTAAAGTTACTCAATAATACCGAATATCATGTTGATGTTTGCAATTATGATAACGGCTGTGCCAGCATCTCTGAAAAGGCTTGCCATAATATAGGTAAAGGGCAGACCCGCCACTCCGATGATCATGAGTATCGACAGCATCTCCCCGGGATGGCACAACTCGTGCACCGCCAGAATCAGTGTCAGCGCAAACGCAAAGTAGAGGGACAAGTCGATGATAAAGTGGGTCAGCCAGTAGGTGGCCAAGCTCACGCCAGACACCTGCTGCTGCATCCGTATCTGCGTTACCCTCTCCTGCGCCACTGAGATGGAGAATATCGCCAGGACAATGGACAGATATAGCAAAACATAAATGCTGGCGCTCACAATCATTATCATTCGATTCTCAACTTGACTCAACCCTTCGTAGGGGGCATTGGTTACCTCTATGCTCGCCTCGGGACCCACCATCGCTTTCGCCATGGCGTTGAACGCGAGGTTGAGCGACACAGGAGCACTATGCGGGAACAGACGCTGTCTACACCAGACAATCGTTTCTTGGTCGAAGGTGGCTGCCGCTATAAGACGTTGCTTCATTTCGTATATTCTCGCGGGCGTTCCTTGCACCTGTGGGCCGATGTAGTCTATTACATTCTGGCTAATTCTTTCGACGGTGCAGTGCTGCTGGGCCAACTCTTGGTAGGCATTGGCTATATCCCGCACAGGGCGAGTGTCCGATGTTGATTGCAATATTACTTTGACGTCCTCACCATTATAATCGGCCAGAGTAAGAGGAAGTCTGGCCAGAAGTGCGCTCGCCGATGGCCTACGAATAAGAACTACAACGAAGAGAACTATGGGCAGCAGCAGCATAACCAGAAACATCCATTTCTTATCATATGTGTAGAGCAGCTTCTTCAGCAGCATGGCCTCCCACTGGCCCAGGTAGCGCAGGAAACGGTTCGGATGACGGCTCTGCTCTTGGCCCTGGCTCTGCCTCTGACTCCGCCTCTGCTGAACCGATCCGCCACCGCCGCTAGTGCGAGCCCCAAGATCTTCCGCGCCGTGCGACATAAATATTTCTGAAAGACTGGTGGAGCTAAGACCGAATCCCACAACATCCAGCTGCTCCTTCTGTTGCTCCAAGTCGTTGAAGAGTGACCCAAAAGATCCCAAAAAGCGGTGCGGCAGTCGATAGGACACGTCTGATCCAATGTTGCTATGAGGCCGCGTGTTGGGCACGTGGGCGGCTATCAGTTGGGTCAACCTGGACACATTGCAGTTGGGTCCCTTCTCGCAGCTGAGCAGATAGCTGGTCTCGTTCTGTTTCTTGAGGAACGCCAATGTGCCCAGGCAACGGAGCCGGCCATCGCTTATGATGGCAATGCGGTCGGCCAATACCTCGCCCTCGTCCATTTGGTGGGTGGTGAGCAGAACAGTGCGTCCCTGCTTCTCATCCAGCAGCAGCTTCCAAAGTTCCAGCCGCGAGTTGGGATCCAGACCCGAGCTGGGCTCGTCGCAGAACAGAACCTTGACGTTGCCGCACAGGGCACAGGCCAACGCAAGCCGACGCTGTGTCCCCCCAGAGAGACGCCGAGCCGCGGTGTTGGCCTTTTCCTTAAGGCTTAGCTTCTGCAAGTACTTTTCCACCTCCTGTTTGACCGCTGCCCCCTTGAGACCCCTGAGCCGGCTGTAGAATCGAAGGTGACTGGCCACACTCAAACCAGCAAAGAAGACGCTTCTCTGCGGACAAATGCCCAAGGATCGACGGGCCTGGAGGTGTTCGGTTTGTATGTCGTAGCCATTGATGATCGCCGTGCCGGAGCTGGGTTGAATGGTGCCCGTCAACATTTGTATGGTCGTGGTCTTGCCAGCTCCATTGTGTCCCAGGAGCACCGTGATCTCGTTCTCAAACAAATCGAATGTGAGGCCAGCGACCACCTGTCGTTCGCCAAAGCTTTTGCTGAGATTTTTTATTTGTACACCAGGGGTTTTGCCTTTGGCGCTGGCATCCACGAACTTGGAGGTCTTACGCTCTGGAGACTTATCCGCAGAACGTCGCTCCTCATCGGTGGGTTGGACAGGGAACCACCCGGGCGGGGATAATGATACTACTCGTCGTATGTTCTTGGTCGGACACCAGAAGCGCTTGGTGCACGGGAAATTCCATGGCTGTGGCATGCCAAACTCCCCTGGCCTCACCCGCTCCATGTACAGGCAGATGAGAATCGAGATCAGGCTAAACAGTATCATGAGAAACAGTATCGCACCAACGCTTATGCTGTCTCGGGCCCATGACGTCTGAAAGAGATTGCTCCACTGCAGGCCCAAACCGGCTTGTTCCCATGCGGCAATTCGATTCATGACCATGTTCATGGCTGACACGACGAAAATGCTGCACAGAATGTTCAACAGTGTCCCAGTATTGTCATTGTCCGTGACAAAATTGGGAACACAGCTGGCTATGAACAGAAGTATGGCAATGAGGCCACACCAATTGCTGCGAGTGCAGAAGGAGCTGACCAGGAAGCCGAAACATATGAAAGAGTGACTGCACACAAGCAGATATAACAGAAAGACAGACGAGTCGGTATATGGGAGAACGGGCATGTCGGCAAATGGCGACCCCTCCTCACCGGGTATACCGATCATCGTCCAAAATATAGTAATAGCTAGCGATATTATGAATAGAACTATCATGGACTTGACATACCAGGCCAGCCATTGGAGAGAGTTGCTTACGTCGGAGATGTTCAGCATATCCTTCAGCTGAAGCTCCTTTTCCTCGACAATGCTCTGCAAAATGAAACAGTTAAAGAACTGCTAAAAGAACAAGACTTAGTCTTACCTTAACATCCATTGCGAACGGGCATAAAAAGGCAAACATTATAAATACACCAAAATAGTAGGAAAATGGTATATTAATATTCTTATCATATAGTGACTCCAGTTTTGGTCGAATCACAGTATGGGTTGAATTCTTTTTCTGCAGGTACTGTAAGCTGAGTTCCGTCTGAAGAAAAAGAAACCCACTATATATGTAATAAAATCCTCTTTCGTTCTGCGATAGCTGGAGATTTATCTTAAAATTGCCTTCTTTGGTGACGGGAAACCGAAGAGCAAACCGGAATCTATGCGGCAATTCGGATATATCAGACCACTCGTCGGGAAACTCTATGCCGAACGCCCCTCGGTACGAACTATTTTTTGTAAGCGCTTCATCCAAGGCCTTGGCATCGACAAAGCCCTGCACATGTACCGGATTTTCATCAGAAACAACTTCAGAAAAGGATACTCCTGTGACAAGCAACTCAAGAATTGCATTTTGCGGCGAGTAACAGAGGATAATTCCGCTTTTTGGAGCACACACAATGAACACAATATTATTTAATTAGAAGTGGTTTTTCAACTTACTATGGTAGCATAGGCTGAAAGTTATCGTTTGAAACGTAGCTTGTGATTGGCAGGGCTTGCCCATATATAAAAGGCACCAGCGGAATAAGAAAAGATAATATTATTAAACAAGCCAACTGGCATTTGCGCCCCAAAAACACACATAGATTTTTCCAAAATATCAATAGAAACTTCCTTGGGCAGGACAACACCTCCGGCACTTGCTCTTCATTTGTCATAGTTTATATATGTAACGCAGTCTGAAATCAGTCAGTGTTGTGGTAGGAAATATATAAGCCACTCGTTAATGGAATCCTTTTTGGGAGTATCAGATCCCAGTGTTGTATTTACTTATGCAAGATTTAATACATTATATAATTTCGTAACGAATTAAGTGAGACTGAGACTAAAGTTTCCACAAATCGACGAATAATTTGGCAGAACTAACTAGATTTCAACAAAAAGTAATCGTACGAACACTCGTATGTAAATTATATTTTGGGGATAAGGGGATAAGCTGTAGATCCTTGTGTCATGCACACAGTCAGTCGTAGAGGACCGACCGAGTTTTCAGACAATTAGATTTTTAAGGCAATTTTGGTATGCTTCGAATGTTGCGTGTCCGTGAAGATTGTTTGTTGATAACAACTAACTAGAAATGTCTAACGTTTGTTTCGTTGAGGAAAAGATTAGTCCAAAGAAGAAGTTATTTTTTTTTATTTGCACAGATGATTTAGGATACTTTATTTTCTACAACCTCCGTTGCAGTTGCATCCTAACATATTACATTGGTCATAACCGCAATATGGGGTTCCTTTACTTCCATCACCGCAGCTTCCAGAATTATCCGTGTAGCAGCATACAGGTTGTGGTAGGGGATGGCGTTCTCCGCCTCTACATCCGCCGTCACAGTTACATCCAAAGATATTACAGGGGCCACGGCCGCAATAGGTTCCTTTGGGACGATACCCATCGTCGCAAAACCCGTTAGTGGTACGGCAGCAGTCGGACGTTACACCACCGATGAGAACTAAGAGCAGTAGTACAGTTGTAAGATTCATAGTCTAATCTATGCGATGGCGATGGTTGGTTAGATGATAATATGTATTCGCAAATCGTTTTGAAACCTGCTATATATAGTATTTATCTAATTTGGTGTGTTCCGCTTCTAATGTAGTGTGTCCATGAAATTGGTGATTATCTTTCTATTTGAAATAAATAAAATAAAATAAATAAATATAAATGGTCATGTCTCTGAAGTCGATCCGGTACAGTCGTATGCATTGCAAGTTGTAGAAAGGTCAAAATAAGACGAATTTTCAAAATTTATTTACCTTTATGATACACTTCTTGATTAGCAAATTTTTTATTATTTTTTGGGTTGATTGTTGGGTTTGATTGGTAGTGTTGGCACAGGGCTAACTTATTAAGCGATGGACTTTCCGCATCCACCACAAAACGAATAAATCCCTAAACTATTCGAGTAATGGGTATACAAACAAAAGAGCGGACACACTAACAAAATTTCAGAGACACTCCACAAAAGCACTCGCACACCACTCACATGCATATTTTGAGTAGCGTTTTTCGCTTTGTTTATTTTGGGCGAATTCGCCGTGAGCATTAATGCCTGTGTGCGTGCTCTCGTTCAACACACAACCCCACTACCCACCCACACGGCCCCACATTTAGCTGCTGTCTCTCTGCTAAGGCCGAAGTCACTCATTTTTGAGTGTGAATCCAAAGAGAGCCAGCGTCGGCTGTCTTCGGCATATACAACCGGTTTCTCTTCGTACGTTGCTCAGAATCATCGAAACGACTTTTCAAATTTCAAAACATTTTCATTCGCACCGTTAGCATTGCACGTACGAAGCGCGCGCGCGTTTGTGGCACGTTTGTTGATCGTCCACGGGAACGGAACGCGCCACACAAAAGCAGGCCGAAAAGAAATTCAAATTAATTTCGAAAATAAAAACCTTAAAAATCAAATTGATTTCGTGTTCGGGCCAGAGTTTTGTACCAGTGCGTGTGTAAAAATATATCAAAAGGAAAAGAAAAGTAAAAAGTAAAAGAATTTACAAAAGAGGAGGCAATGAAACGTTTTTCTGTGCGATCCAACGGTCGGGTCGGTCGCGTGCTCAATTCTTCTGCTTCGCTTCGCTGTCTGAGTATTCGTGTGTGTTTGTGTGTGTCCCCAAGGTGTGAAAAAAAGTATATACATAATAGATCTAGTGGTACACCCCTATGCCACCTCCCGGCCATATAATAGCGGTGTTTCTTCGAGTGTTCGAGTGCTCGTGTTACAATTAACAACAAAAATTCAACAAATTCAAATAAAAAAGGCGTAAAATTATGCCCCTCAGCAAAACGCTAATTGGAAAAGTCAAGAAAATTAAACCAGAAAAGTGAGCAAAAAAAAAAGTAAAGAGTATTTCCGCAGAGTTTCTCAATTGAGAGAGTTTCTTGGTATTCCTTTTTTTTTTGTTTTTGCCAGTTGCAGCTGATCTTAGACTCCACTCCCCTTCCGCCCCCTCTTCAACTGCCAGTGCGTTCTCTGCCTGAAGCGGACAGCGTTGCCAGCTTTGCATTTTCTTCGGTGCTTATCGCTCTCTGTTCTTCTCTCTCACTCTCTGTGTGTGTTTTTTTTAGTGCCTTTTACTATTTGTTGTTTATTATTTATTATTGCAGTTGTTGCTTTTGTTGTGGGGATTGTATCTCGCGGCGAGTTTATAGAAGCGTCCAAGCGTGCAAAAAATTATAACGAAATTTAAATTAAACAAGAAAAAAGGAAGGCCTGCTTTCAAAGCTTTTGTTACCCTTGGAAATCGGTTGGATCGGTTGTTTGAACGTACTTATATTATTTATTCAATATAGAGAACTAAATTTGATATCATTCCTACATGGGAAAGTTAAGTTTGTTGAGGTCTTCGACTTGTCCTTCCTACAGCATGTTCTTGTCGATTAAGAATCTACGAGTATGTATATTCCTTATAGGATCAAAAGTGCTTCACCTTCTGCGTTGCAATCATTTGTGGCACATCGTAATAGCGTCTGCAAAATCGTAATAGAGTATCACTGACTCCCTCTGCCACCGACTCCGCCTCTCCCTCTAAACATTTATTAGCCTTATTTATGGTCTTATTATATTGTGATTTGTGATGGTCACTCGTTTTTTGTTGTTAATTTTTTTTGGCGGAAACTGCGCGTTTTCCTAAAAAAAAGTAGACCATGGAGTGGGTGTAAAAGAGAGGTCGGCAGAGGTTGAGCGAGAGCGTGCGCTAGCTGTCTAGCGATAAGCTGTCTGGGCAGGCAGCAAGCCCTTTGCCTCTATCTCTCTCCTTCACCCACTCACCCACTCTTGTTCGCTCGAACGCTCTCTCTGTCTGCCTCCCCGTTCGGACAGGTGCGTTCTGCTCTGTTCAATTCGCTTTGTTGTCATTTTGCTGTTCTGTCGCCCGCGGGCTCTCTCACAGTCTCACAGAGCAATGCTCACACATATGTATGTATGTATGTATAATGCTCTCTCGTAGTTGCATATGTGTGCATGAAAAGTTTAGTCATTAAAGTCTTTTTACGGTTGTTTTGTTGTTGTTGTTGTTGCTGTTTTTTTTTATTGCTTTTGCTGTAACGGAAATGGTTTTTGTTTTGTTTTTGTTTTTCTGTTTTTGTTGCTCTTTTGAGAGGAAGAAGTTTTTTTTTTTTTCGGGAGCAGTTTTTGACCAACATATTTGAGAGTGTGAAAAATGCTACCTCTCCTCTCTCGGGAGATGCGAAGCGAAAAAGAGATGAAGAATTCTTTAGATTTTTTGCATAAATAAAGTGTTAGATGGGAATGTCACAAGATTTCATGGGATGTGAGAAGTAGGGTGCGAAATAAATAGGTGAGAAAATGAAAGGAAATTGCAGAAATACGGATCAAATATGTTCCTGTAATATGACACCCACAAAATAAAAGTAGCAAGTAAAGAATACTTTCAAAACGAATTTCGAATGCCGTACTTGCACAATTTCACAATAAACTGTAATTTTCATACAATCTGATTATAAATGTACAAAAATATAGATAATTTTGGAAAGATAGTTAGAACGTGTAGGTTTAGAACTAACGCTGCGAAATATCGATCTCATGACTTTTAAATTGTGAAACATTCCAAAAACATAAGGAACATTCGGCAAAGCATATAACAAAAGAATAAAATCATATAGAATCTCTTAAGTCCCACAAATTTCTTATATTTAAAACAACATTCAGCTGTTGTCGGTTTTCTCTTTCTCTGGTACCCAAATATTATGCCACACGAACACTGCATGGACAGACAGTAGGAGTCCCAAAAGCCACAACCCCACCTGGACCCCCCATACGACATTGTTGTTTATGATTGTCATTATCAGAAGGAATTACCATTGTTATCCAGCTAAATCTAGTCGTTGCTCACATTGCCTGCCCCCCCTCTGTGGCTGTCTTATCGAAAAGGTGGTAGATGCTGATAGTACCATTTAAGGAGGCCTTAACTGTTTGGAGCTGCCTGCCTGCCCGGCAGAATATCATTCACATTTGGAATGATTTAGTCAGTTGGCCAAAATAGTCATTGTCCATTCGCTGAGCAGAAGGGGAAGCACGAGAATTATGGCATGGGAAGTGCAAAGATTACGAGAGATTGTAGAAAAGTGTGACGAACACTTGAGGAAAAGTTCCATTCATCCAAACTGCAAAATATACAATGAATAAGCATTTCTAACATTTTAAATTATCATAGACGAATGTGTTTGTATCCAGGGTATGAATTATATA